ATTTCACCCAATAAAAAATCCTTACATATAGTTTTTTATAAGTGTGCTCAACTATGTTTGTGTTTATACTGATGTGTGACACCCCAACCACCTACGATTTTCGAAATTTGTGAACAACTAAAGAAAGATGAGAAAGGTGTTTATAAAAGACTTATCGCAAATGGAAATAACTTTATGATATCAAACTGCATGAGATATTCTTCACTGGAGTTAACTATAGCTCATTTTCCACTGTAGCAAATGACCATGTCAAGTTGGAAAAAATGCTATGGGTTGAAGTTAAAAAAACAATAATAATGATAAACATCCTACTCCATCTAAATAATGAGCATTTATACGTGTACTTTATGGACTTAAAGAATCAACATTTAACTCGAAAAGCATTATTATACAAGATTCACATTTCACCTTGCAAAAAATGCACCATTTACTGAAACATTATAACTCTGTGGATATTAGATCGAGACTGGAGAGTGAGTGCCATTCAAATGTGTGAATAATCAGGGAAAACCCTTACCACACCCACAACAAAATTTCCTTATTTTCTACCAAGCATGGGGGGATTCGTATAACCGAGGTGGAGTGTTCACAATCAGGAAAGGGGATGGTCCCAAAATAGTTACTAATTTATAATACTTCAAATATTTTGGTACTTTCAATGCTAGGAAAAAAAAGCCAGTAGTAAACAAGCGTATCTGCGCAAGGAATAAATTACCTACAGTGAACTTTATATGTATATAGTATTATATAATAATAATATATAACAATATAATATCATGGATCTACTACTTTTCATCAACAAACTTAAAAATATATTATGGTCACGAGGTCTGAATGTTAACGTTAACGCTTCACCTTGAATATTAATACTTTGAAACTGTTTATAATAATAATGGCAATAATTCCATGAAACTTGAGGATTTAATTATAAACAAATAAAAATTTATATTTACAAATATGTATATAAAAGTCAAAAAATCAAAGATAATTAATTATAATACAATATTAAATAATACAGTACAATAAAACATGTATAATAATAAATAATGATAACACCCATATAACAAAAGCAAGCCATACTTCTGTACAAGAGACAGTGTTTCCAGAAGGCTTAAATATCTACATTTATATTCGTTTTACATAATCATCTTATCAGCTTTTTCATAGCAGATGTATTAATCACATATTCTCCCAAAATTGTTTCTAATTCTAGAATCCTACCTTCCACCCTCTTTACCCTTTCTCTAGTAGAAATTTTTCCTTTGGTAGGACTAGTATTCGAGACGAATGGAAGGTTCTCCAAGTCCGCACTGCGTATTACTTCTGATTTTGCCACTTTATGCATTAGTCCCCTTTAGAGAAGTTTCATATTGAAATTAGCTAAATGTTTCGGAAAATTAAACAAAGATAGTAAACGCTTTAGAAACTTACCAAGGATTAATTCTTGGTTGTCCAAAAAACAACATATAAATTCCACCAATCAATCCTAATTCAAAAATAGTAATGGTAGTTCAAAATTGATTAAATATATTCATCAAGAGGCAACTATCAAATATTTAATATCGACTTTTTAGCTTACCAATAGCACCACCAGCCACTCCCAGAGTCCCAAGAACCGTATACGAACTAATGAATAGGACAAAGAAAAACTAAAGATTATAATAAAATGTTATAGAAACCAAAATTTCAAATTTTGAAATGAGTTGTCAGATTTACCGTTTTTCAGATTGCACTTCGTGGAGAAAACTTCCTGGAGCAACATAAAAGTGACCTGTAAAGGGAAAGCTATCATTTGGATGCATTTGAAAGTATTTCGACACAGTGGTAAAGAAGGGTGTGCTAATGTAATTAGGAGGTAGGCCGAGAATTGTGGAGATGTCGTCGGGTAAAGTGGACAAGGTGGTTTTCTTAAAGAATATCTGAATATTGGTGTAGATTAAATTTAGTAATAATCATCTATTGAAAAGATAATCGGTGAATTAAAATAACTGACCAGAGCCGATACATTTTGTATGCCCGCGAACGTATTCATTTGTTGATCCAATCGTTTTTTTACTGGATTTGTCGGTGATAAATTCTTGAATTCTGTTAAAGCATAATAGTTGATCATATGTTATATCAATAGAATCATAGAATATTTCATGATAGAAGAGATGTAGTACATTAATTAATTACCTTTATCCATTATTTTGCCTGTAATAGTTCCCACGGATAAAAAATGCTCGATAACGGCGGAAATATTAAGAATTTTGAAATAAAAATCAATGCCCCCTACCGACAACCCTTCAGAGATTTTTTCCGAGTCACTGAAAAAATAACTACTGTTAGCTCGAAGAGTATAGCAATGCTTAACCCCATCCTGATCCACTGTCGTGACTTTTTCAGATTCAAATATTTTGCTTTCCGGGCTACAGCCGTCAGTGGAATTTTCGTTATTATTCCAATGGAAAATGCATTTAGATATTTCGATATCACTGTGATCACCACAGAGTTCAATTTCTTTGTGAGAGTATAAATATAAATAAAGAACCTGTTAGATTGAAAAGTTTTTGAGAATTTTAACACCTCGCTCGCTAACATACCAGGAATGCTGAGTTTGTCCAAATACTCATAAGTTATTTGTATCAATGGTTTGTCGTTGATGATTCGATATATGAGAAATGCCAGGTAGCCCATATAAAGAAGGATTACGATACTAGCTGTCACCCATCTCAAACATTGAAATTTCTTTGATTCCGGGAACTGTGAATTAATTAATTACGTATAAAGGTGAATCTTTAAACAGGCGTTTTTCGTAGAATATAAATCAACTATTTAAGACTCTTAACTATTTTCCGACTGGATCTGAAAACGAAAAGCATTTTTAGAGAAAAGTAGAATTAGGATTTGTTCTTTTCTAGAGTGAAATTACTTATGAAAATAATCAAGAAATCGACAACTTTGAATATTGCTAGATTTTTGTTTTTTAAAAAAATAATAATGAATGTAGCGCATTTTATCTCTACGAACTCCGATATTAATATATCTAAAATCAAATCTTTTGTCTTCTATAATAAATAATAATTTATTTGATAGGTGATCATTGAAATGTAATTTCCATTTATATTAATATGTTTATTTTTTAAAATTCCAAATAATAAATAAATTCCGAGTTCTTAAAACGATTATTCCTATTGTTAAACATCATTCAAAAGACTATTTCCGGGGTGTAACGCCAATTTTTAATAGTAATATAAATATTTGTCAAATATCGATTCATCCATCTCCAATAGGGGCTTCCGATTATGACACTGGAGTGGTATTAATATGGAAAAAATGAGGTAAGAATTCAATATTAATTTTATTGAAATACTAAAATTGGTAAATGATAATCATTAAACTTTTTGATCTCCAAATTTAACAATTATCTACCAAATATAGCAAATCTTAATAACATTGAATGAATCAACGAATGGTTTTGATTTACGTTCAAGAGTCAAAACTTGTTTATTAAGTCGAACTTATTCGAATTTATTAAAATTACATTGTTAACATTTTTATTGTTCTGCACTACGGCAAACAATTGAACAAAATGTATTAACATTTAAAGAAACCTGCATAAAAAAAAATAAAGCATGGAACAATCCTCCAAAAAAGGAAAGAGCTTTATTATTATTATTATAATATAAATTATTCAAAAAAATTTCTTGGCTGCCAAGCGCTTTACAAGAATTTATTTGTGACTGCATCAAAGGTAAAATACCTTAATTGACCTCGCTTCTGAATGAATGAATACCGTTAACGAGAAAATCGAGGTTTAGAATCGAAGAAACAGTTGACACGAAACATTTACGGAGGGATGAAAACCGGATGGGTTAGTGATGTTCTGTCCTTTCTTTATGTTTCTTTGGGGTTGGAGCGGACTTCGTCCGCAGAGATTAAAACAAAAAGATGGAAACTTCTTAATATTCGAGTTACATAAACACAAATTGGTGTTTGGAATCCCGCGACTAATGTTGATTGGTATTTTGTCAATACCTTGTCCATTGCAAAATCTTTTCAAACATTTTCTTGATTGTGGTCATGGCCCCTGCTTTGTTAGCAGTTGTCAAAGCTGGCTAGATTTTCTCTATTTGTAAATAAACCCAGGCAGGTCTTTAGTGAAGAATCGTATCACAAGAGTTGAATATAACGATTACATGATAATAAAATAATATTGTGTGAAATAAGTCCTTACTTACTGGGACGTAAGATGCTCTAATTAATCAATAACAAACTTTTTTTTAAAAAATAAAATATATATAAAATAAAAATTCTATCAGAGCCTTCAACTAAAGATACAAACATAGAACCAAGGGAAATTATAAAAAATGTATCAAGATTTTAAGTTATAGAGAGTTTTTTTCTTGCCAAACAAAAAAATTTTTTTTTATATGTTCTAAAGAAATTGAAAAAAGACTGCTAATAGAAAAACTTTATAACCAAACGAGATAGGGGAAAAAACTCTATAGATTCATTATAGAAGACTTAAGCAATAAGACTATAAAAAAATTTTGTTTAATTTTATTATGAAAAACAAAAAGTCAATTATTATTAAATTTTACCATAAAAATTTACATTGTAACTGATAAATTAATAGAAATTTCTTTTTTATAATTTATATTTTCAAAAAAATATATTGTTAGTTGAATTTTGTTGTCAACATTTACAATATGATAAAGATACTAAAAAAAATCCGCACATAATAATTTGTTATATTGACGTAACATATGTTTGATGATCAACAGCCATCGAACACCACACTTACGTCCTCTACACTTTTTACTAAAATCTCACGAGTGGTTTAATTCAATAGCGCAATACCAAAAGGAAGGAAAGAAATTCTGGAACTGTTAACACAATTCCTTGATATAAATTTGAAGTCTATGTGCGAGGAGTTTATTAAATGGGGACATTCTATTAGAATATCAAAAACTTGTATGACGAACCGTACTGCTTCTTCCACTTCTCAGAATGTTAGGGATGGGACGGTTCCGTTAAGGAGCCGCTCTGTTAGATGATCTTTCCTTTTAAGGAAAGATATTTGAATATATCACGTGAAATTTTTTCTTACAATTTTTTATTAATTCGCAATTCGTGATAAACGGAAAGGATCGACATACATTTTAATATATAGTAAAATGCGGGGGATATTAAACATAATAAAATTACTTAGTAAAAATAATATTGAGCTGATTTTAATTTTTAAAAATTTTAAAATGACTAAACATCCCAATTTTACTGTAAATCTCATTTCATTAGGCCAAATAAAGCCACACTTGCACTATGACATAGATTCTAGAGAATGGTGGGTTATGAAGCATAAAAGTAAACCAGAAGAAGGTGCGTTACTTTATCCAAGGAGAGTTGGTTGGGAAACAAGCATAGAACAAAATGGCAGACAATATTATACATGTATTACTGAAGACAATGAAAATAGTAATTTATTACCAGGATATAGATGTTGTTCTGGTGCAAGTTTAACCAATTCCATCAACAGGTTTGAATTAGTAGTTTTTTCTAAATAAAACAATAAACAAAAAAATTTTTTTTATATTCTATATTTAAATATATTGAAGTACATCATCATTAAAATCTATGTCTCAAATTACCACTTATTCTTTAGAACCAGGTATGGGATTGGATAAATTAAAGAAAGATGATATTAAAAAAATGTTGGATCAAAGAGACCTAAATTATGATGAAAAAAATAATTGATCAGATTTAGTTGTACTTTTAAGAACAAACATTGGATTTGAAACAGATAATAAAATAGAAGGTAATAAAATTATTTTTCTAAACACCTAAAAACTTGGCTAATTATATGTTTTTATTATCTAGAAGCAAAGAAAAGAATGGACTTAGATGTAATAATGGATGATAAAGATGATATGGATAATTTACAATCAAGAAAAAAAAAAAGAACTTATCTATTATAGAAGAACAATTTGATAATGCTGAAAAACATATAATAACAAGGTATTTGATAAAATTCTTGTTTATGTGTCCATTTATTTATATAGAAATTACTTCCCACTTGCTGGGCTTTGAAAGAAAATCAGGAACTTGGAAAGAAAGGTGGTGAAAAACATATGTCTGATAAAGTAGTTGAGTTATTAAAAATCTTTTTTCACACAGGCGATGCATGTAAAAGTGAATGATATACACCTAAAGAAATGCTTGAAGAATTGAAAAAAAACATGGAAATAGGTGAGTTGGAAGTAATTGACATTGCCAAAATTAAGTACAATTGAAAATTGGATTAGTAGGTATTCCAGACAGCACAAGCTAGCAATTGCTAAAAAACGAATAAAATAACTAAATAAATAGTTTTTATTACTTTCCTCAAGTAATTCATAATAAGTGAATTTATTTTAATAGTATGTTTGTGCTTTAGTAGTAAAAATAAACGTATCCCTTAAATGGTTTTTCGGCTATTGATAGCCGAAATTTTTTTTCTGTTATAAAAAACTTTTTCTAAAGGTATTACTTCCTAATACGAAAATGATCTCTGAGATTCAGCTGATTGATCTGTGAATAAAAATTCGGTTGTTGTCCTTGTGGTTTTCGTAAAATCTTCCTTAAAAGTTGGTCGATTGACTATTTTTACTTTGCAGATCATTAAATTGGCCAATAAGAATGCAAGGTCGTGATCAAAAAATCATTTCGCGTTACCATTAAAAAATACTTTGACCGTTTAAGAGATAATATATATTTTTATTTTATACAATAAAATTATATTTAAAAAAATAAATGAAATAAATGGAACTAAACTATTTATAATTTGCATACTTATTCAATATTCAAAAAGCCATTTTAGTTGAGTTAAAATCAAATTTTTTAATTTTTCTTTTAAGACTTTCAATAATTTAAAATCGTCCTCATTTAATTCTGATTGTTGGTTGAGCAAAATATGGTCTTTATATACGTTTTGAAATGTTTATGAAGTCATAAGGAGGTTGACTTTTCTTAGGTCATGTTTACAAATAATTATTACAGCAAAACTGATGAATTAACATTAAAGTCATACAGTAAGTCATAATGACATTCTGCTTTTTTATGATCCTTCATCAAATACGAATAATATATTGTGACTGCAAAGGATGATGATAAATATGAAGTAATGTTGACAAATGTATAGTGCGTTCGAATTATTTAAATAAAAGTTGTGCGTGACACACTGACTAAATTTCTTAATTTGGTAATGATTACCTCAGATCATGATCGTCGGCCGTTATAGACAATATATAAAACATGAGAGAATTTTCAGAGATAGGCCATTATATACTATAGGAAATTGAATTAAGAAAACTGTTATAGAGTAAGGTTTTTATATAGTAAAATTTTGGGTTCTGATTCACAGTGCATTATATAATGGAGGCCGTTATGTAAAGGGTTGTTATAGAGAGAATGAACTGTATATGTCATGAGATTTATAAAATATCAAAATGAAAAGCATTTAGATAATCTCAAATAAAGAATTATTTGAAAGTAGTGGTTATTGCTAGTAATTTGAATGCATAAACCAGATGGCCCTGCTTTTGGTAAATTTTGACACTTGATAATTGTATCTAAACAATCTCTTAATGCAATTTTTGATCAGCTCTATATTTCATACCTGTTATGTCTTCAATTTTATGCCAATTTCAACAAGTAAT